AAGTTAGGGCAAAGGGAAAAAAGAGAGTTTATATATCTTTTAGAAAAGGTAGAAAAGGTAGAAAAGGTAGAAAAAGTAAAAAAAGTAGAAAAGGTAATTTATCCTAACATTGCTTCTAAGATAACTCAATAATTACATATCCTACAGATATGAAATATAGCTTATTTGAAAGATCTAATCAAGCTAAATCTAATAGTAAAATCTAAAACTATTTTTAGCTAATAAGTTATTAAGAAAAATAATGATAAATAAATCTAAATATATATAATAATATAAAAGTATAATATTTAAGAAATAAGCTAAAACCTATTTTATAATAGTACTATTATATCAATTAACTTTAAACAAAATTAATATACTAAACTATATTTGAAAATATATTAGAAAATAACAAAAAGTTATGAATAGTCTTACAAAATATATTAAAAATTTTTAATACAGTCTATATTCTTTTTTTTTTTTTTGAAAACAAAATCTTGTCTTAATTTTTTATTAATTCTTATATGTAAATATATTACAATAAAATTGATATAATATATATATTAATTCTAAAACTAAAAACTCAAGCTAGTTTACCTGTGACTCAAACTTTGCTAAAAAAGTCAAAGCTTTACTTAGTCTATAATATTCTCACTATAGTTAAATAATATATTATAACTAATAAATATTTTGAACTAAATCAATATTTTGTTTTGTATTTTGTTCTTCATATTGTTCTTGTTATGCAATATAACTTCTGCTTCACAAGATGTGTTAAGGTTTTCAGCTTCATTAGGTTCTTGTTGGCCTAAGTTTAAGTATTAAAACTGGCATTATATATAGAAAATCTAAAATCAGCTAATCATAACAAAAATAATATTGTTTAAATTTTTATATAAAACGATCTTTTAAACTTGCTTTGAATCTATAATTAAATATATAGAGTATTGTAATATCTTCATATTTAATTATAGGTTGAAAGTAAGTTAAAAAGACTGTTTTCCTGAAAATTTGCTTCCGAATTTACTCTTACCCATTATACAACCGATCGTTCAATGACGAACCGATTACGAACCGATCGTTCACTACCCGAAAATACCCGAACGTTTCAAAAAATAGCGATGGTGCTTTCTTTTACAACTTAGTATAACAGTTTTATCTCATACGGGAACCAAAGAAGCTTTTTTATTGAGTATTTCGTTTGTTGTTTTCACGTAACTTATTGACAATAGTTCGTGTAACTGTTTATCGACAAAAAACACCTAGAATAAAATCGGTGAATATGCTGATGCTGGAAATTAGGGTCTCGATTTAAAACTATAAACCCTGCTAAAATTCAACTATACTCGTTTGTTGTAAACCCTAACCCTAAATTCTAATCTAACTATAAAAAAAAAAAAAATCGTAGAAAATGCACCCCCAAAATTTTTTGTAAATTTCATATTAAAGTATTTAAAATTTCCAGCATCAGCCGTAACATTTAATAATAAAACTTTCACTATAAAAGAGGTTAATTGATAAATTCACTATATCGAGAGAAATCTTTATATAGATTAGTTGAGCCTAATTTCCTTATATCGAGAGTTCATTGTAACGAAGTATTGATGTATATATCGCATGATGCGTTTATTCTTAACATATAAGCGATCAGACGATTTAAAAAAACCCGACCAGATCGAAAAATCGGGTAGGGCGATTTTTTTTTTTTTTTTAGTTATTTGACTATGATCACTAAATCAAGTCTGGAATTTTTTCAGTTGCCCAATATCATCTAGCATTGAGCGTATTTCTTCATCTGATTTTTTACACAAACTATTAGATGTTTAAATCAATAAATTCGTTAGTTCCGTTATCAACATTCATAAAGTCAATAGTTTGAGTTTTCACTTTCCTTGGAATAAGAGATTTTGCTTCTTCTACCTCATCACAACATAAATTGGCTAACTGAACCAATTCATACTTGTGAAGCTTATGTCTCATCAATGTTCTGATTTAAATATCAAAAATTTAGACAATGACTTGAAAAAAATAAAAATAAAAAATAAAAACATACTTTCGAATTTCTCGTACAGATTCCTCATTATGAAATTTAGTAAACAATTCAACGTATTTGGCAGTTTTTTGATATACACTAAAATTTTACAGTAAATTAATAAATGGCCCGGATACAACTTATTTTTTGAGTTTTAAATATCTTCTTTGTAAAAAGAACGATACTAACGGTGTATTTTTTTGATTTTCTGGTGTTTTTTGCAGTAAAAGGTGCACTTCAGAGATGAATAAAAACTCTTCGCCTTCAAAATCTAAATCGTGATCAAGTTAAGGTTTTGAATACCTGAGTTTCTTTAATAATTTAGCATTTACCTTCACCAAATTTTAACTTTGAAGCATCTTCTTCTTCCTGAGGTGCCCTGCGAGCTCGACGATTATGAGACATCTTAAAACACAAAAGTCCTGAAGTATGGTTATGGTTTCGTAAACTTCATTAATAAGCAATGATTATGAACGCAGCATAGTGAAAGTTAATTTAGGGTTGTAAAAATTACCGTAATTTATAAATTTTTTGGCCAAAATTAAACTTCGCAGTAATTTGGTAACATTCAAAGATTAATCGGCCCGAATTTAACTACTATTTTTTTTTTTTTGAGGATTTGGAAAGCTTTTGCATTTTCAATATAAAAGACAATTCTGCTAAAGTTACGGTAATTTTAACTTGGTCAATTTGAAATTTGGTCCCTTATAAATTCTTTAGTTTCTTCAATTCACAATGATTTTTAGTCTAATTCGACAAATCTTCTGTACAGTATATACTATCCCTGACCGAGAAATAGGTGACTAGGACAATACACTTTAGTCGATTGCCCATGGAATCGATAGCATTAGTTTAATACAAGCTAATTTTTATCTTTAATTTTGGTAATGACTTTGCAATTAAGGATCGTGAAGACTAGAGCTTTGATAGGTTGATTGACAAAATTATGTTTTTTCAAAAATTTTGCTTATAAAACTGTTTTTTGTATTCTAATAAAATTTCTTTTGTTTTTTTTATTGTTAAGGCTGCTTTCTTGGCTGATTGGATTTTATTAATTTGTAATTACAGAGTTATTGTAGTAGTAATCTTCTAAGGTTTTATAGTGTGTACAATAAGTTATATGTATAATTTTAGTCATTGTCTAATTTAAGTAGTCTGTCATACAAACAATTGATCATCTGTTGGTTCTACATTATACTGCTATACCTGCAACCTTCTTGTGAATTACCTATTTAAACACTCTGAACATTAATTTTTCTTCCTATTTCAAACTAATATCATCACTATATCTGACTATTTAAACTAGCTGACTTACCTGTAGATTTATTTACTACATGACTTAGATTCTTTTGGAATATGTATTGTCTAACATATTGTAAGCATACAGAGTTTTAGTTAATCTCAGAAGCGATTCCTACTAGTGTTATCATGTGCTAATTTTACTAATTCATTTGAATTGAATCCTTGTCAATGTTCATACAAACCTAGTTCTTGCCATAGCTTTCTATTAGATATAGTTCTCTAAGATTTTAGATATTTTACAAGATAGATTCTCTTAATCTAGTTAGCTGTCAAGCTAAGTTGATGTTGTTACTAATACAAGATATCAGACTATATTACATAGTAGATTTACTCACATCTATTTAATCTGTATCTTTCATATTCAGGTTTTTTATTAGATCAAATGTTAACTAGCTTAACTGTTAAAATTTGTACTATTTCACCAAATTTAAGATTTCTACTATGCAGATTTTTTGCTTATAGATCCTATCAAGATTTATTCATGCAATATAATTTGAACATTGCATCATATTTTTAATGTCTAATTGACATTAGTGCAATATGATTTACAGAGTTGTAATCCCTAGAAATAAACAAAGTTTACTATAAGTTAGATACAAAGATTCAGATAATTATTCAAATTTGTTAATAGTAAGATTTGAACTCTAGATCTCTTGTATAGTGGTCTGGCAATCTAATTACTATACTAAGATTACTAGACCTTAAAATTTCTTTTGTAATTTAAAGTTTGTTTAAATTCTCTTTTTAACTTTAACTTAGTCTAAACTTAACTCTAATTCTTTGAAATTGCTTAATATAGACTAATATTAATTAATTTTTTTTTAAAATTCAGTAGTCATGCCAAGACTTTATGTAGATTTGTTTTTAATTGAAAACAGTATTAATTAGCTATATACTATCTAATGTCTAATTTTTTAAACCTTAACTTATCTGATTATCCTAAGGATATCTATATGCAATTAGCTATAGTAACCTTTGTTCTATACTAATATAACTTATAAAGTTTATAAATTATATAGCTAATAGGAAGGATATCACAGCCT